CCGCGCTGCCTCCCCCACCCCCAGTGCCCTCACAGCCACCCAGAGCACGCTGCATGGGACTCTGGAAACAATTCAAAGGGTCTGGGGCTCCAGCTGCCACTGTTGCTAGAGTCCTAGGCACTTTTGAATCACTGGGCTCTTGGCAATTGCACTTTTTGCCCTCCCATCCATAGGGCTGTCCACTCAGATGCCTAATCCTGTTAGGTGACCTAAAGGTAACAGGTTATGTCCCATTACCAGCCCCATGCTAGCCCGACAGAATATGTTCCCAGACTGTGGTTCGTGGAGCATCTGTTATACTCTGCAGAGAGCTAGTTAGTCATATTTTAAGCTACTCTTTCCAGTTATTAAATCTCATTAAAAGGCAATTACAGGCACATTTTAAAAATAGTTCTAACATCCTTTTGCCAGGGAAGCAATAGCTGCCACAAGGATATTAGGGATCATGAAAGGTGTGGGTGGCTTGAGTTATGGAGAGAGGGAAGGTCTGCAAGATTATCAGAAGGGAGCTGTCCATGTGACAATCTCTGAAAGATTTACACAATAAAAAGGTCTAAAGTCGCCTATTATAGAAGAAATAAAAGAGCTCAACGGTACAGGGAGCCACTTTCTTCCATTCTTATCTTTGCCCCAGAATACCTTTAACACTCAGTCCCCTCCAGATAAAGCAAACTATTATCATGCTCACTCCACTCCCCTCCAACAGTCCCCCAAATTCTCCTCTTTCCATCCCGCCTCTTTTTTCATGCTCTTTAGCCAGCTCACCATAGATTCTCATGTTTTCATATATCCCTAAGGCAGGCTCACAGTTCCTGCCTCTTCTCATTTCAAGGGATGCAAGGGGACCATTACCTTCTACTGCCCATACAGCCTCCAGTAAGCCAGCAAGATGAAGACTAAGCGGAGCAAAATCTGACTTGAAACCCCAAAGCCAAAACACCCTCGTTCTCAATATCAGAGGAGAGGGAGATACTAGGCCTCTAAGAAAACTAAGTAATTGCATGGGGATCCAAAGGGGGAAGCATCTGATTTATTTTCTTAATAGCAGCCATCCGGGTCAAACCAAAGGTCCACCTAAGCCAGTATCCTCTCTTCCAACAATGGATAGTGCCAGGTGCTTCAGAAGAAACAACAGAACAGATCCACACCCTGTCATCTAGTCCCCGCTTTTGGCAGTCAGAGGCTAGGGCCTGGTGAGTAACCTGAAGTCCATCAGGTTTCTCGGGGACCCACCAGAAATTTTGTTTCCTGTTGCCCATGTACAGGGTTGCCAGATTCTGCTGGTTTCTATTTGCGTAGTTATATAAAGTGACAAGCAGAAGCATATGAAGCGAGGGGTGTGCTGACTGCATTTTCCTACGGGCATTCCTAAAGTGACAAGCAGGAGCATATGAAGCGAGGGGTGTGCTGACTGCACACATTGACTGTGAGAGCCATCCCCTCCTTCTGCATCCAGTCCACGTGCTGCTAAGTTTCAATCAGCTTGCACTGCAATTCCTAGAGAGGGGAGTGCAAATCAGCAAAACTACCCTATTCCAGGGCACTGTCTTGGTTAGGACAGTCTTGCCACCCCGGGAGATGAAGGAGGGCCACTCACACTATGGTCGCCCCTCGCTGGGCTGGAGACACCCTCCACGGGGCTGCTGTCCTGATCGTTTTGAGTGCTGCTAAGTTTCAATCAGCTTGCACTGCAATTCCTAGAGAGGGGAGTGCAAATCAGCAAAACTACCCTATTCCAGGGCACTGTCTTGGTTAGGACAGTCTTGCCACCCCGGGAGATGAAGGAGGGCCACTCACACTATGGTCGCCCCTCGCTGGGCTGGAGACACCCTCCACGGGGCTGCTGTCCTGATCGTTTTGAGTAAGACCTCTGCAGCCGCCGCCCCAGCGCCCCGCGCCAGGCACTGAGGGGCAAGCGGGCGCTGCTCTCCGCCCCGCTCACCTGCGTCGTAGAAGGCGTCCAGCACCTCCGTCTCCCCGAAGTCCAGCTCCCCGAAGTTGACCGTGGTGAGCTGGGCGCCCTGGGCCTCGCAGGCTCGCACCAGGCACTGCAGCGCCCCGGCCTCCGGGCTGCGCGCCCCCGCCCCGGCTTTCGGGCTGTCGTTCAGCACATACACGGCCCGCAGGGAGCGCTGGCGCGGGGC